CTTCTGGGCTACGCTTAGACAGGGTCACTCATCTTGCACATGGGGTACCTTTGCTTGTGTCATGCCCTTCAATGCCTTGGGACAGGGCAGAGGTTGCTTTCAAAGATAACTCAACCTTAAGTTGACGTCAAACTCTGGGGTGGACTTACACCATGTACACTTGAACAATAAACTGTCCTCATTCCTGTGTCAATGTAAACCTTACTGTCACTTTTGCATTTAGGAGGGACACACTGAGCCTATGCACGCTCCACCTGTCCAGTGTATCTCTGCTAACTCACTCTAATAATGGAATGGGCCCTGCTATGGGGATTATGTGTGCACTCACTTAATTCTTGCTGTTCCATACCTGTGCACAAGCTGGGCTCCCGTTGCTGTTGAAGCTGGACAACAAGGGAAGGTAATACCAACAGTAACTCCCTCACTGTAAGAGGATGTCCCACCTATCACAGGTACACGCTTCACGGCAGACTGCTTGTACTGACTGTTAGACATCTATTACCCTTGGCAACCACTCTCTGTCTTCATACCCCAGTGTGCTTTACTAGACCCACGTTGTAGACTAAGTGCAGAATGTGCCGGTTACTTGCATACCCCTCTTTATTAACTTCAGAATTGGCAAGGACAATGTTAAAAAAGCTTTACTGAAGACATAACAGTTTCAAAACAAAGTGCACAGTCTTTCCCTATTGTCCCTAGTCACTAATTCAGGTTTGAGCTGCCCCAGCGTACCTGCACAGGTAAGAGTCCATGTTTGGTTGAGCCAATGTTGGCGGTATCCAGGGCTGGTATCTTCAGTTCAGACTATGGGTCCCAGCAGTCCCCCTACATTGGAGAAGATTTCTGAAGTCAAGCGATCATTAGCAGAAATTCTGGACTCAGCATGACAGGCAGAAAACTAGCCAAGAACTAAGAGCAAGACTGTCTGCTACAACATGTTGCGGCTTGTCTGTGTCTTTCCTTCACACGCAGCAGATTGTGTGTCTGGGCAGAGCCCTCCCCCCCCTTTTATTAACAGAACAATGAGAGAAGCAGAGCTCAGCAAAGAGTACGGGAACTTAGGTTAACTCTTTCTCTCCCGGCTGGGGCAACAGCTGTCTCACTATCCAGCACTTCAACCTGCTTACATTGCTTACATTTGCACTGTAATGTAGTTTTATTACCTGCTGATTCTGATGATAGATCTATTATTGTTCCTCTTTCTTTAACAGGCCAAGCTTTGCAGCAGAAGTGGCAGTTAAAGCTATGGCAAACTATAAAACACTGACAAGTGTGTTACAACTGTCAGCTTTTATACAGAACTTTTTTAAGTGGGTACAGCAGCTGTTTTGTTTTTAAGCATTACGCTTAAATGTGTAGGTGGTACCCCATCATTGCTTTATATAGCCATACCCTGCAGATGGGACCCTACTATTATACATGGCTTCCAAGGCATATTCCTTACTTTGTAGCAGATCAAGCCCACACAAACCAACTTGTCTGCCAATATGTGCACAGATGCTGGTGTAAGATTGACTCATTAGAGTTTCCTGATTCTGGTCCATAACAACTCCCATATGCCCGGAGCACCTCTCACACAGGGCTCTGCAATTTTCTGTGATTCAGATTAGGATATCGGAATATTTGGGGCCCGGCATGGCATATGAGGGCCTGGGTCATCTGGTGCGTGTTCCTTGAGTGGGTTCTCTCACACTACCAAGCGACTCCTTCCCCTAATCACTACCAGCTCCTAGGCTGATCAGATGTGCACTAGTGCTCATGGTTACTCTATTGCCTAGGTTTTTGCTATTTACACTAATTCATACTTCTGACATCTTTCATCATACCACACGGAGGCTGCTTGTTGCACTTGAGGCTTCTTACTGCAAATAAATGTAAACTGTACACAATAGTAGGAACTTCATACATTTGCTCCATTTCCTCAAATTGAACCTTTCCAAAACCGAGCTGCTAATCTTCCCCCCAGCCCACGCCTCCCCACCCTCTCCATCACAACCAACGCCACCATCAGTCCCACCCCGCAAGCCAAAGTTCTAGGTGTCACTCTAGACTCAAACCTGCCCTTCCAACCCCATGTCCAATCGTTGACAAACTCATGCAGGCTCCACCTCCGCAACATCTCCAAAATACATACGTTCCTAACCCCAGACACTACTAAACAACTCGTTCACTCCCTTATTATTTCACGACTTGACTACTGCAACTCCCTTCTCACCGGTCTACCTCATCACAGACTATCCCCGCTTCAGTCTATCCTGAACTCAGCAGCCAGACTCATCCACCTTACTAACCGCTCCGCTTCTGCCACCCCCCTCTGTCATTCCCTCCACTGGCTTCCGATTGCCCAACGCATTAAATTCAAACTACTAACATTGACATACAAAGCCATTCATAACGCTGCCCCAAACTACCTCACTGACCTGATACCCAAATACCACCCAACCCGTAATCTTCACTCCTCACAAGACCTCCTACTCTCTAGCTCCCTGGTCTCCACCTCCCACGCCCGACTGCAGGACTTCTCCAGGACTTCCCCCATCCTCTGGAACTCACTACCCCAATCCATTAGACTGTCATCTACCCTCCTCACCTTTAGGTGCACCCTGAAAACCCATCTCTTCAGGGAAGCCTACTCCACCCTCACCTAACAACCGATCTCCTCCACTCCTCCTACCACTTCATCCCCCCACAGCCACTTCCTCCTGTACCACTTTCCCCTCCCTCCTAGATTGTAAGCTCGAAAGAGCAGGGCCCTCGAACCCCCTCGTGTATTGTCTTGTCACTGTATTGTCTCATGCTCTGTCCCCCACTATAATGTACAGCGCTGAGCAAACCTTTCTGGCGCTATATAAATACTGTATAATATAATAATAATTTGGTAAATGATTTTACATATGGTCCATGTGGATGGTAAACAGTCCCATAACAAGGTAAACCTTCAACAATATCCATCAAGATGGAAGGAGTGAGAATTGCAGTACTCATGATTCTGTAACATATTCTCACTTAGCCTTCATTTAAAGCAGTGGTTCTCAACCTTCCTAATGCCGCGACCCTTTAATGCAGTTCCTCATGTTGTGGTGACCCCCAACCATAAAACTATTTTCGTTGCTACTTCATAACTGTAATTTTGCAGTGAGAGGAGTAGTGCCACATCATTGGTGTCAGTGAGAGGAGTAGTGCCACATCACTGATGTCAGTGGGAGGAATAGTGTCCCATCGTTGGTATCAGTGGGAGGAGTAGTGTCCCATCATTGGTATCAGTGGGAGGAATAGTGCCACATTGTTGGTGTCAGTGGGAGGAATAGTACCCCATCATTGGTGTCAGTGTGGGGAGGAATAGTGCCCCATCATTGGTGTCAGTGGGAGGGGGGGGAATAGTGCCCCATCATTGATACTAGTGTGGGGGGGAATTGTGCCCCATCATTGGTGTCAGTGGGGGGGGATAGTGCCCTATCGGTGTCAGAGGGGGGAGGAATAGTGCCCCATCGTTGGTGTCAGTGGGGGGAGGAATAGTGCCCCATCATTGGTGTCAGTGGGGGGAGGAATAGTTCCCCATCGTTGGTGTCAGTGGGGGGGGAGGAAATAGTGCCCCATCATTGGTGTCAGTGGGAGGAATAGTGCCCCATCATTGGTATTAGTGACACCAATGATGGGGCACTATTTCTCCCACTGACACCAATGATACTTACCTTGCTGACTCCTGCTCCAGCCTGGGCTCGCTCCCTCCCTCTCTCCCATCTACAGCCAGCAAACCTGGCTGCAGAAGCACCATCTGCATGCTACAGACACTTACCTGTCAGCTGTCTTCCTTCTCCGGCCGCTCCCTCGCTCGATCTTCTTTGATGTTCGCGCTGCTGCTCGACGCCTCCTCTCCAAGCTCCACCTCCTCGCTGGTGATTGGCCGCCTGTGTGCCTCTCCTGAGCTACAGTTCCGGCGGCAAATCACTGGTGAGGAGGCGGAGCTGTTGAGTGATCCTGGGGGTGTGGCCAGATGACAGGGGCGGCATGTCATCCCGCACACACATCGTGGTCCAGGGAAATGTGGACATATCTGCATGTGGGCGGACCCGCCTGGAGACTGATAGAGGAGCAGTGTCTCGGTTCCTAAGACCATCGGAATTATGTGTTTTCCGATGGTCTTAGGAGACCCCTGTGAAAGGGTTGTTCGACCCCCAAAGGGGTCGCGACCCACAGGTTGAGAACCACTGATTTAAAATGATATTAAACCAGGTCTCTGTATTCACTCTATCTGGTCTCCCACAGTACACACAACATGGAAATGCAATTATTTTAGTAAATATAAACTGCTAAAAACCTTTTTCTCATCAGCAGTTAGAGCAGTCTTGTGACTTCAGCACAGCACTGGTTAAAGCTTGTAGGAGGAGTTTTCTTTCTGCTCTAGGAGTATGTGAAACCCTTGACTCTCTGTTTGGACAGCGCTGATTGGCCTTGTGCTGATCACATGCGCTCTCCCAAGAAAAAAAAAAACCTCTCTAGCAATACACACCAAACTGAGCATGTGCATGTGACTACGGATTCAGTCTGTATCAGGTGGTCATTTCAACAAGAGGAGGGGCAGAGAAGAAAGGATCAAATGGCCTTTTTACACAATGCAGAGGATTAACCCCTTAGGTCCACAGTGAGTATAACAAGCATGCTTTACTGCATATACAGACTGATTTTACTGTTGTGGGTTTAGGGGCACAGCCTTCAGTTCCCAGTCAGGCCTCTTTCCAAAGGAAAATATACATACCTCCCAACTTTTTGAGATGGGAAAGAGGGACACAGAGAATATAATCAAATTATAAACCCCTGCCATGCCTCCAGTAACACAGACCATGAGGCTTCATGTGCAAAAAAATGATTGATTTACTTTTATAACACTACTTTCCCTTTATTTTGGCTTTTCAAAGCAACAAATTGAGTAATTTAAAGGTTATATAAAACATTTAGCGCAGTAAACAATTTTGATATTTAAATACCACTTTGTTTTATAGAGATCCTTATATCAGGCCAAAAAGAGGGACATCTGAGGAAGAAAGAGGGACAGAGGGATTTGGTTCCAAATGAGTTGGGAGGTATGAATATATACTCACTAAAATACACTATACTTTTCACGTTGACAACATTTTGTTATGTTATGTTCTGTATTGTATCGTTATGAAGATCCTAAATGCCATGTCTCTATTATGTTGTAACACAATCTTATTTGCACAACTTGTATAAAGGGTATCATGCTCTCCTAAGCAGAGACATTTTCACTGAAGGTAGGCAGAGAAGCTACAGTATCACTATGTAGCACTACCCCCTTAGGAGTCACCAGAGATTTGGGTCCCCCTATAGTCCTGCACATCCAGGCAATACGCATTTCCTTCCAGTCTTGCACTCCGGAGACAGTAAACAATCCAAGGGGATTTGAAACTTGGATGGGGATGAGGGGACACATGGGATGCCTAAGGAACTGTTAAACTGATGACAACTTTCTGGAACTATGTACAAATTATCAGAAGGGGTTTTCTTCTTTGGAGAGCTATCCAGCCTCTCCAAACGTATCACCTCAGACCCGAGAGGAAATCTCTTCTTCACCCAGCTGCCTGAGGGAATCCCTGGGCAAGGGAACCCAGAATCTGCCACTTTAGGGACCGCAGTCCCAGATGAGGGCTAGTCAGGTTTCCTACCAGAATGCCTTCTCCCCTTATAGATAAGGGGGTGTAGGATTAATCATTCAGTCCTCTCCTGCAAGCGTATGGGTTGGTGGCTGTTTTCAGGCCTTTGGCTGGGCTGGCTCCCTTCCTGCTTCCCAGGCTGTCCTCTTTCAGGGGACGGTTGAGGCTGTGAGATCCTCCCTTCCAGTTCCTCTGCCTGTAGGTAGGCCCCTCTCCTAGACCCCCTTCTAGGCTCTGTCCTCCATTCTGCTCACTCCATCTTCCACTCGATCTCTCCCTCCTCTCAGCAGATTTAGCTATGCTTAAACACTGTTCCAACCCCTTGCCAAGCCTTCTGCTTGGGGATTTATTGAGATCCTTTAGGCATACAGACCAGCCACTCCTCATCCCCACCCACTGAGTTCTAGAGACTTCTCCGAGTCTCTAGATCAGGGGGAGGTATTAGAGAGCTGATCTGCAGAGTCTTTTAGCCCTGACCCAGATTTGGCCCCTCTGACTATTTCCCCTGGCTGCTCTTTAGCCTCCTGTCTAAAAATAATTAAGTAGCTCCTCCTAGCTTTCCTAGGAGGGTGCTACTACTATTTACTGCAAACACCCTCCTGATGTTGTTTTCTGTGTGCAGAAGTTGTATTTTTTTCCTTTAATCTAAACAGTGCTGTAAAAAACATAGAGGAGTTATTACACTAATGAAGATCTTTCCTTTTCAATTTTTCATTTCTGAAGCAAATACCGGATTTTTCGCTCCATAGGATGCACCTGACCATAAGACGCGCCTAGATTTTAGAGAAAAAACAAAAAAAACTATTCTGAACCAATGGACTGCAGACATAGTACAGGAAATGACCAGAGACTGCGGACACAGTACAGGAGATGACCAGAGACTGCGGACACAGCACAGGAGATGACCAGAGACTGCGGACACAGTACAGGAGATGACCAGAGACTGCGGACACAGTACAAGAGATGACCAGAGACTGCGGACACAGCACAGGACATGAGCAGAGACTGCGGACAAAGTACAGGAGATGACCAGAGACTGTGGACACAGTACTGGAGATGACCAGAGACTGCAGACAGTACAGGGGATGACCAGAGACTGCAGACAGTACAGGGGATGACCAGAGACTGCAGACAGTACAGGAGATGACCAGAGACTGCAGACATAGTACAGGAGATGACCAGAGACTGCGGACACAGTACAGATGACCAGAGACTGCGGACGCAGTACAGGACATGACCAGAGACTGCAGACAGTATAGGGGATGACCAGAGACTGCGGACACAGTACAGGGGATGACCAAGAGACTGCGGACACAGTACAGGGAATGACCAGAGACTGTGGACACAGTACTGGAGATGACCAGAGACTGCAGACAGTACAGGGGATGACCAGAGACTGCGGACACAGTACAGGAGATGACCAGAGACTGCGGACACAGTACAGGAGATGACCAGAGACTGCAGACATAGTACAGGAGATGGCCAGAGACTGCGGACACAGTACAGGAGATGACCAGAGACTGCGGACACAGTACAGGGGATGACCAGAGACTGCAGACAGTACAGGGGATGACCAGAGACTGCAGACAGTATAGGGGATGACCAGAGACTGCGGACACAGTACAGGGAATGACCAGAGACTGCGGACACAGTACAGGAGATGACCAGAGACTGCAGACAGTACAGGGCATGACCAGAGACTGCAGACAGTACAGGGGATGACCAGAGACTGCAGACAGTATAGGGGATGACCAGAGACTGCAGACAGTACAGGGGATGACCAAGAGACTGCAGACAGTTCAGGAGATGACCAGAGACTGCAGACAGTACAGGGGATGACCAGAGACTGCAGACAGTACAGGGGATGACCAGAGACTGCAGACAGTACAGGGGATGACCAGAGACTGCAGACAGTACAGGGGATGACCAAGAGACTGCAGACAGTACAGGGGATGACCCAGAGACTGCAGACAGTACAGGGGATGACCCAGAGACTGCAGACAGTACAGGGGATGACCAAGAGACTGCAGACAGTACAGGGGATGACCAAGAGACTGCAGACAGTACAGGGGATGACCAGAGACTGCAGACAGTACAGGGGATGACCAGAGACTGCGGACACAGTACAGGGGATGACCAAGAGACTGCAGACAGTTCAGGAGATGACCAGAGACTGCAGACAGTACAGGGGATGATCAGAGACTGCAGACAGTACAGGAGATGACCAGAGACTGCAGACAGTACAGGGGATGACCAGAGACTGCAGACAGTACAGGAGATGACCAAGAGACTGCAGACAGTTCAGGAGATGACCAGAGACTGCAGACAGTAAAGGGGATGACCAGAGACTGCAGACAGTACAGGGGATGCCCAAGATACTGCGGACCTTTGGGGAGGGAGGGGGAATGGGTACCTGACATTGACAGGTGGGTGCTCCCAATTCCGCGGAGTTGTCCTCCATTTAGTTTGGGCACCCGGCTGTTTTTTTTTTGGTCAGGCTTTTTTCCTGCATTATCCTAACCTGGATTTCCTGTGAATAACACACTAAAGATGAGTACACACTAAACTAAAATTCCTCTGTTTCAGCAGGAACTGCCCAAATTTTGATCTCTGTGTAGCCCTCCCTGTTTAGACAAGCAGATCATTAGCTTGTGTTGAACGGGACTGCTAAAAAAAACCTCCTTCAATCAGCGACTTGCAGCCAAACGGCTGTAGCACTGATCAGTGTACTCAGACAGTGGAGTCTCTGCTGTCAGAATACATTGTCCTGGTGGAGGAGTTTCCTTCATCCATATCACTTATGTGGATGCAGGAATCTGTAAAAAAAAAAAAATTCTGAGAAAACGAACAGTGTGTACCCAACTTTACTGTCACTGGGTAGCTATGCTCTCTCCTCCATTGTATCTATGGAGGTAGCCATGGTTGTCACCCAGGCTGGACTTCAAACATGTCGGCCTTTATTTATCTTAATTGCATGGTGACTGAAGGTGTTGTGAGTTTAGATAACAAAGGTAAGATTTATTTTGTCTTCACGGGAAGTTGCAAGGACTATGCATTTCTAGCAAAATCTACAGGTACAGGATTTTCTGTACTAGTTGAAAGCATTTGTAGCCATTAAAATGAAAATTTAATGCCACTACCATATCTAAGGACCAGGCCTTGATCAAGGAGGGTTCTGGGGAGAGCTATACCCCCCCCCCCAGATTTTAGCTGTATCCTCCCAGACTTCTGAGAGTGCATCCACAAATCCATGAGACCTGATGGGGACAGTTGATGTAAGGGGGCACTGTGTTGCATACAATTGATGTAAGGGGGTACTCTGATAGAGGCAGTTGATGCAAAGGGGGTACTCTGAGGGGAGCATTTGATGTAAGGGGAACTCTGATGAGGCAGTTGATGTAAGGGGTACTCTGATGAGACAATTGATGTAAAGAGGGTCTCTTATAGGAGCCCTGATGTAAGGAGGAACTATGAGGAGAACTCCTGATATAAGGAGGGACTTTGTTAAGGACACCTGATATAAGGGGGCACAGGTTCTGTTTAACCACTTCTCATCTGGCCCATGTACATAAACTGCCAGATGGGAGCAGTACAGGAGCGAGTGGCCGTGTATAAACGGCCTCCGCATTCACTGCCTGTGCGCGCTCCCTGGGAGCGTACACCGATCGCTGTACTGGACCTCTGTGTGAGGTCCCGGTTCATGTGATCACTGATTGGCCAATCAGTGATCACATGAATAGTAGTAAGCAAGATGTCACTTCTGACATCGTTGCTTACTACTTGTGAAATCTGTGAATGATCACAGAGGTCACATGGTACAAGGCTATTCACAATAGCCTTGTACCATTTGACAAGCTGTGACCAATCACAGCTGTCACAGTATTTCTCAATGGTTGCAAGAATGCAACCAGAGAGAAAGAGAAATTATTTATTTATTATTTATGGGTGTAAAAGCAATAAGTGGAAAAAAAAGAAAAACAAATCTTCATCACCCCCCACAAGTAGTACAGTGTCACTATGGTGACACTGTACTGCTAGGGTGATGGTATGTAAAAAAAAAAAGCATAAATAATAATATAAAAAAAAAAAAATGTAAAAACAATTTAGAAAAATTATAATTTTTGGTTATAAACTAATTTGGGTTTTTTTTTACTAAAAAGATAGATGAATACATATTGGCCAAGATTTATGAAGAAAGATTATTTATTTGCAAAATTTTATAAGAAAAACACTTTTATTTTCAAAATGTTTGGACTTTTTCATTTATATAGCAAAAAAAAATAAAAATCCCAGGGGTGAATAAATACCACCAAAATAAGGTTTTATCTGTCTCAAAAAAATGCAAAAAAATTCATATGGGTACAGTGTTGCATGACCACGCAATTGTCATTCAAAGTGATAGCACTGAAAGC